AGTGCTATGATCAACTTAAAAACCAAATTTGAAGGGTCTTCGAATCGTCCATGCGCTAAACATAACGAAGACCAGCGAGAATCACGAAGACTTTGTGAGTGACAGCAAGCTGTTGACACAGAAATTCCCACGGAAACATGTACCCATGACATTAAAGAAAATGGCAATTTGCAGCATTATTTCTTTCTACGCCAATTTGGGTCTTTCCGTTGTAATCGTTTCGTTTTGTTATTCTTCTATGCAAACGTGACTGTTTTGATGGTAAGAATGAAAGATGATCGCTTTCAAGAAGTCGTTGCCGAGCACGTGACTATAATCTGGCCGGTGTTGTTCTGATCACTTGACGATCTTTTTCGCTGAAAATACAGGACGACTTCCTATTTCAAGGAATGCTTTTCCAATTAATTTCTATCGCATCGGTGTAAAAAAGTACAGGTATATGGGTGTTCTGAAAAACAAAAGGGAAATTCAAAACTACGAGAAATTGCGAGTAATCGGCCTCTTCTACTACACGCGGGTTTTTTTGGTGTAACATGCGTGTGTTTCCCATAAGTTACAAGCACTTTACGCACGTGGGAATGCTGCAATCACGAATTTTAGATTACGTGAAAGTCACGCATGTGGTTGTTTGCTCACTTCACTAATATGTTTGTTTGCTTGTTGTTGTTTTTTTTTTTGGTATCCTGGAGTATTTCAGGAGGGGTTGCGGCAGACTTAACTGTGGAATAATTGTTTAATGCAGGGTTGTCAATAAAGGTTGCAGTTAGAAATTAGCCAAGATGCTAAAGGAGCTGCCTTGAAATTTCAAGACTGTGTGTTATGTAGTTTATTTTTGTCTTTTGTAAATGGTTGTTAAACTGGACAACTCTTAGAAAGATGACTTCAAACTTAATTTTAAAAGGCCTGTTCTGGTACCAAATGAATAAGCAGCATTTCCTTATTAATAGTTTTGCGAGTTTCTCATTACAAATTCCTCTGAAAAAAGGGAAACAACTCTTTTCATAACTATTTACTGCTTTCTTTTGTTGCTCTCTTAACTTAAAAACAATGTACATCATGATAAAGTAATTTGTTAGAGGACACTGTGAAATGAGGCCCAAACAGCTTTATGATCTGTGAAATATGTTGCTAAAACATCTGCTTGTATATCAATGTTAGATATATTTGTATATATATGATCAATTACTGTGTTGTTGTCAGTTGTATAAGTTGATATGAACTGTTTGTAATGGTTACCCCTCACTAGTAAATTATACAAAGGTCTTCTGTCTGTTTCAACAAGCCAATTTATATTAAAGTCTCCAGTAATGTTATTGTTGTCTGGTGAAATGTTAATTAATACCTCAGTTATTGCTTCATAAAGTTGTCTTACGGGCACGTTTGGGGAGTGATATATCCCTATGATTATTCAATCCTAAAGACTTGCTAACTTAATTACTGTTATTTCAACACCATGTATATTGTGACAATAGGGGTATCCAGGTAAGTATGGGATTTTACTGTACACAGCTGTACCACCATAAGACCTTGATCCATTGCTGGAATTAAGGTTATCATTATGGAAGAGAACATAACCAGCAATGTCATACATGTCATTATTATCTTGAGAATTAAATCTTGTTTCTGTGAAAATATTGATATCAGCACTTAGATAAATTAAGTCTTTACGTATATCTTCTATGTGTTTGTGAAGAGACCTTACATTAAGATGACACAGTTTAAGAAGGGAAAATGTTATGTCATGGAGAGGGGAGATGCAAAGCTTCAGTTTTGCAGTTGTTCTTAATCTCTTCATCTGGATTAACAGCAATCTTGCTTTCACACAAATCAGAAATATATAGGCCTTCTATAGCAGTCACTCTACTGAGTCCCACATAATGTATGTGTGGAATAGTATTTCTGGTACTAAAATCCACAACAATTCTACTGTCAGTATCACCTTGTGACCTGTGAATTGTTTTTGCTGCTGCGGGACGCAGTGGAAATTGTTTTCTAACAACTTGTGCTGTTCTGTTTCTACCTACTGCAACTGTGTAGTCACAGGGTTTACTGGGGTCCATGTGTGTTCAATTCCTTGTACATACAAATGTCTTTTTTCATTCCTTGTTTTCTGAAACATCTGAGTGGTCAAATTGTACCCATACAATACCAGATGGTTTGGTTTGTTGATGTAACTGAACTAGTTTAACAACATTTCCAGCACCATTTGTCATGCCATCTTCGGTTCGTACATTCATGACAAGGTGTGTTCTTTCACCCTCAGCAAGACAAAGGGTTGAGGCTAACTGTTTTGTTTTTCTTGGATCATTGGGTATTTGTCTTAGTATTTTGTTTCTTAGCTCTGGAGAGATAGCTCCAATAACACTATCTAGAGCATTTATTGTGAATTTGTTTCCTGTGGCTGCATTATGGGCCCTTTGATTAAATTCATCTACTTTAGCATTCTGTATAAATAAGTGAGGTGCATCTATTGGGTTGTTGATGTCTTCTTGTATAGCTCTCTTTAAGTTTTGCAATGTCAGCTACTGTGTGTTTACCTTTACGCAACCTATTAAGTAATTCCAAAAACAATTTGCTGTCTCTTTGACCCATGATTTACCTTCAAACATTTTAAAGTGTTTATGCCATAAACTGGGAGAAAGAACAGCATAAATCTACATTTTTGAGGTCTTTGATAATATAAGCATCCATAACAGATTCTAATTGGAATAAGTCACCAATAGCAATTATGCTCACACCTCCAAAATCCTCTCTACAGCCTTTTATATCTTTAAGCCTATTGTTTAGCTGTATTGCAAATTACCATTACCATTTCCTACCACTGAGATTTCATCAACAAAAATCAATTGACTTCTCAAAATGTTTAGTCTACTTGAATCAAGCTGTTTGTAATGTCTCAGTGATTGATTGGCAGGAATGGCCAGAGTGCTATGAAGAGTGTTACCCTTAAGCTTTACCAGTTGGAGCTAATAGTATAACTTTGATCTGATGAAAATCATCACCTGCTCTAGTGTTATAATACTTAAGCACTGCCTGATACAAATCTTTTGTTAAATGCGATTTGCCAACACCAGCCCCTCCACTGAGGAAGCAGTAGAAAGGGGTTTCTGAGGTTTTAATCTGATGTAAAATGTGATAAAAAATTCTTTTTGCTCTTTATCGGGTGTCTGGACCATTTGACGAAAATCGAAATCAGGTAATTCATTCAATATCAGTGGTTCATTATTCAGCGATGTTGATGGAATGTTGAGATCATCAGAGAGGTCATAGTTTTCACTTAAATCAGGATGTAAATCTTCATGAGATCCAATCCTTGAACAGAATTGGTCAATGGAGATCCCTATATTTACTTGTGTGCTTGAGCGAGCAACAACAACAACAATCCAACTAACTAGAAACTCAGTTTATTAAAATAGATAACACTCTTGACAGTTCAAGGCAAACAATAGTTTCTTTCAGTTTGTGACACTTTGAGACACTCGTGAGACATTTTGAGACACTCGTGAGACACTTTGAGACACTTTGAGACACCCTGAGACTCTTTGAAGCGCAACCCGCACAAATACATTCAAGCCGACAAATGTTGGCTTGCGAGAGTACAATGACTCCTTTCAATCTGGCACAACCCGCACCGAAGGTTCAAGCCGATAAATGTTGGCTTGTGAAAGTGTAAAAGCTCCTGTGCAACCTGCACTGAACACAAGCCGCGTTTCAGCGTGTTGGCTTACGTGAAAAAATCTTCTGTTATAGACACCTGAAGAAATAACGAAACAAACGCCTCAGATTATGAAAGAAAGAACACAAACCAGGTGTACAAACGTAATCGCCTTTCGTGAGAGCTTAATCGTGAAGCTCCCACAACAAAATTGAAAAGTTAAAGTACGCAAAGAACCCGTGAAAATATGAAATGACTTATCCTTACCTTGGAAACGGAAATCCCCAAGAAACAAATATGAAATTCCGAATAAGTTCTCCAAAACCCAACGACTGAGAAGAGAAATGGCCGCCGTACAATACACTATGAAAAAACGCTGACTGGAATCCAGTCTTCACGGCTCACTGAACGCAAATAGAAACCACGTGACAAGCACTTCTCTCTCGTGGACAAATAAATAAAGAAAGAAAGAAATAAAGAAATAAATTTCGCGGGCCTTGACTAAGTGTGGGAAATCCCACACAAAAAAACTGCTCGCTTAGTAATGGCTAGTCGTTGAATTTATGGTTCAATAACAAATTCTGGTTCTTTAGGGAAAAGAAATTATCCTTTAACTGCTCTCAGCAAGGCTTTTCTTGACAAAATTGATTAATAATAATCTCTCATTAGTTCCTGAAATGTATAAACATGTAGCTCATATTTCTGTCGTGATTTTGTGAAATGTCGTTACGAAGCAAGAGGACGTGTTATTAAGATTGACATTTTTAAAGGCGTGTCACCTAAATGCGATTTTCATTAAGCACTATGGCAAAAATGGGTTTATATTACACGAAAAGAAATCAATCGAGAGAAAAGATAAAAGCGAACTGGTCTTCATTCAGAATAATTGTGTAAGCGAGAGAGGTTTTTGTTGTTCTAATGAAATCAGTTTACGACACAAAGTGACACCTTCGACGGGACAGGTTTTAACCAGCGAGAGCGCTCGAGCAAGAGCAAAGAACCCAAACAGTTGTATTATGAAAAAGAAGATGACAGAATTGGACAACAAAATAAAGCTACTCGAGCTGAAGATCATTACCTGGTACGTAAAATTTTTCCTTGTGTACTGGCTCATTGCTCACATTACCATCTCCTCGGGCGGCATAAAATGACACCAACACTCTAACATCTTTTACCGTTTCAGCTGTTTGGTTCGACATTCTTTCAGATCTTTCATTCCATGTATTTTGATCCTTTCTGGTCTTTATGGATACGATCTGACGCACTACCACTACCAGGCGGTCGACAAAAATAACACTGAAGGTCATAGTCCTTGAGCATATGTCAACTATATTAACTAATACCCATGGTGTTACGATTGTTTGGACCACGAAGATCTCGAGAGATCAATGACATCAAAGTAAGTCTTCTAAATTACGCGTCATGCGCTTATAAAATAGCACATCACGCATTACGTTGTGATGTCCGGTCCCGCATCACGCGGATAATTTGGGTTCAATCACGCATCACCCCACAAATTTTGGGGCCATCACGTGTCACTCAAAAATCCATAGCCACCCTCGAAAATCGGCAAAGGCGAGAGCGAAGAAGAAATCGCGCTATGAGGTAAAGTAATTAAAGAGAATCTTGAGAGAGCCGATAACACAACAAGAAGAATTCAAGACGCGATAAAAACCATAGACCTCGGAGAGAAAGTGTGCGAGGCGATAGAGGAACACGAGAAGAACATCGGAAGTTTTAGCGGCAACTACTAAAGCAAAGAGTAGAATTCGAGAAAGCACGCGAACACGAGAAGGAGACAGAAGTTGATCTTTCAGAGTTATTGGACATAATTGTAACGAAACACTTTGGTGCTCTTCATTGAAAAAAAGGATCTGGACTCCAAGGAGACACATCATCTACATCAAGACGCAAATGAACTATCTCCTACTCTTGTAAACGGTGTTCCTTCTGAGCAAATGCCTGTTCTTCCAGTGAAAAGAAAACTCTCAACTCTAACTGACAGTGACCGTGCAGCAAGTTTTTGAGCAAGTGGGGGGGGGGGGGTATTTTTGGCTCCGTTATTTCTGTTAAATCATTTTTTGCTTAATTTGTTTTTATTTTTGCAAAAGAGTGGGGGGGGGGGGCTTAAGCGGTCCCTGACAGATAGTGCCTCCTTTCACAATAGTGAGGCAGCAAAAAAGATCCAGGGAGTAGAAGAAAGTGAAGACTCTAGCACAAATGCTCCATCCAGTGTAACTGATGTGAAAACCTGTTTTTGTACAGTACAAAGACAAAACCAGTTTACCATTTGTAACATCTGTAAACATTCAACACCAAGCATAGATAGGCTTGTGGCAGGCAAGGCACAAACATTTTCTGCCAGTCAAACCAGTGTTCAGGCCGGTGCGATATCATGTGAGGCTGCACCATCACCAATAATAACCAAGGTCTCTAAGGAGTTCTTCTCTTCTTTTCAAGATCATAAAGTTTCCAGGAGTGTCAACCAAGATACAGAAAATTTTAACAATGCCCAAGGAAAAGTTTCTGTTTCTTGTAAGTGGGGAACTTGTCTGTACAAATGTATTGATGCATCACCTCTTGTGGTTTGTGCACCAGGGAGATGTGAAGGAGAAGTTTTCATAGGTTCCCATAGTTACACGTTCATGTGCAGCAGACTGAGTGATGGCAAAGTCCTGTGGGAGAGTAGGCTGGGGGACAGAATAGAATCTTCTGCAGCTCTCTCACTCTGTGGTAGATATGTTATAGTGGGTAAGGTATTGTATATTGTTTTTTAATTAAATGGCAGGAGTTACTCGTAAATAAGTAAATAAGGCAAATGAGAGAGACGCTGTGATTATGTAACAGGATCTGAATCATACATTGCGTGTTTGTATATAGAACTTGTTTCACTTTCTCTGGAGTTGTTTTTTCCATTACTGGTATCAAGATTCTCAATGCATGAGTATGCATTTTAAAAGAAAATGTCAATAAGAGGCTAAAATACTGCTGATTTGCTTATTCAAAATGTTTTCTTCACTCAAACTCTTCCCTACCCTTCCCTCCCCTCCTTTCTTTCAGCTTGAACTGAGACAAATTAAAGACCATGTCTTGCAAACAATATTAGTAATAATTCACAGTTTCTGGTGAATGTAGAAAGCTGACATGGCCTCTGTAATGATTGTGATGGTATTTCCAATGGCCTGATTTGCTATTTATCTTATCAAATGGAACCTAATATTTGTTGTTTTTTAGGTTGTTATGATGGCCAAGTGTATGTACTCAACCGCTTCACCGGTGAAACAAGTTGGACATTCCAAACAGGAGCAGCAGTAAAAAGTTCTCCTTGCATTGACCCCCAGACTGGGGTGGCCTGGGTTGGGTCACATGATCACTATTTGTATGCCCTTGATGTCACAAATAGGCAGTGCATTTCTGCAACACACTGCGGTGCAGGATCTTGTTTCAGTTCTCCATGTATAAGTAAGAAACCTCATTTAGTATTCATTGCTACACTAAGCGGCCGTCTTCTTGCAATTGGTGCTACTGAACATACAATACTTTGGAGTCAGCAGTGTCCTAAGCCAGTGTTTGCATCACCATTATTGACACCCATTGGTATAGTTTGCGCATGCGTGAATGGGTTTGTTTATTGTTTTGACTTCCAGGGTAATAAGCTATGGGAGTTTGAGACACAAGCTTCAGTGTTCTGTTCAGCGACTTTGTACCATGATGTAAGATATGGTTCCAAGATCTCACACTGTATTTTTTTTGGCTCACATGACAAATCTGTGTATTGCTTGTCACTAACAGTTAGTGACAGTCACTAACAGTTAGTGACCAGTTACTGGTGAGCACTTGTGGAGATTTACAACTGATGGACCTGTGTATTCAAGTCCTTTTGTAGCCATGATTGAGGGAAATATGTCTTGTCACTCAATGTGTAACGCAAGGCCTTGTGATGAGCATGACACTCAATTAGCAGTGTTTGCTTTGTCGAGTGTTGGAAGCCTGTATATTCTGGATTTTTATACAGGAGTTCTTTTAGCTTTTTATTCATTGCCTGGTGAAGTATTTTCTTCACCTGTTGTGTTTGACAATCAAATTCTCATTGGTTGTAGGGACAACTATCTCTACTCACTTGGAATATTAACCCTTTAACTCCCCAAGATCTCATTAGTAATTCTCCTTACTGTCTGCCATACAGTACTTGTGATGTTAGTTTGGAGAATTTGGTATTGGATCTACTAATAATTCCTAATTAATATTTTTTTATTCTCATCACTTGTCTGCCTGATATTGTATTGATATTGTATGGAGAAATTCTGTCTTGGTCACTTGTGGGCGTTAAAGGGTTAAATGAAACTGAAAAGTAAGTAGTAACAATGTTGACTATAAAAAATATTTTTATTTTCTTTTTACTCATCTAAAAATACAGCTAGATTTTCATTTTAATTAATTCCCAGACTGAATTATTTTTTCTGCAGACTTAAGACTGAATATATTTTATATTACAAAGTTGAATTACAATCAGAATTATCAATATTGCTATTTTACGTCTGTTATTTGACTTAATTGCTTTAGTTAACCAGTTTAAATATAAAAAAAGAAAATTTAACTAAGATAAACTATATGAAAAAAAATTATTTTTAATTAGTGATTGCATTTCCAGTGGCACATAAGAATATTCTATTATCAAATTCTCTACCTCAAGCAGCTATTCATCTTAAACTTAAGTGCACGTCATTATTGATCCCTTGGGGGGGGGGAAGACTGGGAGGATTTTGGGGGATCACATGGTGTTTTGGGGGAGTGGAGGGGGATCAGTCATCACTGAAAAGAGGATCATAGAAAATTTACTGGCAATGAGGGGGATCATTAGAATACTACAGAGCCTTAGGGGGGGAGGGGAGCAATGGCTTCCCCTTCTTCCCAGCCCTCTATCCCCCACCCCCCTAAGGTTATGGATAATGAGTAGTCCCTGATTTGCCAATTTCAGCCCTGGTATTCCTACAGTAAATGATTGTTGTGAAAAGAGAAGAGTTGGGTATTAAATTTTTACAACTTTCACTCCCTGGCAGGTAAATTACTTTTTCATTTCCTCGTTTGACTGACCTTGATCAATAGAAAAGTTACAATTAAAGAAAAAAATCCGCCTCCTCTTAACGTTCCATGCCGTGTCGCAGGTCATCTATGGCAAGCTGTACGTTACGTAACTTATTCTGAATAAGCCTTACATAAACATGTTCGGGACCAAGTTTTTTCAGTTCAATGTTTAAAGCTCGTTTAAAGTACACCTTGGCCTGTTCTAGGTCGCCAAATTCACGGTGTACATCACCCAAACTATTGTAGGAATATGCTACATAAACATGGTCAGGTTCGAGATTCTTCAACTGGATATGTAAAGCCCGTTCGTATAGCTCTTTGGCCTGTTGCATGTTATCCAACAAAAATTGCACATTACCCAAATGGTGGTATGAATTCGCCAAATCAACATGTTCGGGTTCAAGATTTTTCAGGCGTACAGCCAGCGCTTGTTCGTGATATTCCTTGGCCTGTCCCAGATTATTCCATTCACGATGCACAATGCCTAAGTTATTGTAAGTATCCACGACTTCAAGGTGCTCGGGACCAAGCTTTTTCAACTGAATGTCTAGAGCACACTCCAAATGCTCCTTAGCCTCTTGAAGGTTACACAATTCACGTTCTACATTTCCCAATTTAAAGTAATTACGGGCGACATCAACATGCTCGGGTCCAAGCTTTTTCAACCGAATGTCTAGAGCTCGTTGATAACACTCCTTGGACTTTTGCAGGTCACCCAATTGATGCTGTACAATACCCAAGCCATAGTAAATATCAGCGACATCAACATGCTCGGGTCCAAGCTTTTCCAACTGAATGTCTAGAGCTCTTTCAAAACACTCCTTAGACTTTTGCAGGTCACCCAATTCACGCTGTACAATACCCAAGCGATGGTAAGTATTACCGACACAAACATGCTTGATTCCAAGCTTTTTCAGTCGAATGTTTAAAGCTCGTTCAAAGTACTCCTTGGCCTGTTCCAGGTCGCCAAATTCACGGTGTACATCACCCAAACTTTCGCAGGAAAATGCCACATAAACATGGTCAGGTTCGAGACTCTTCAACTGGATATGCAAAGCACGTTCGTATAGCTCTTTGGCCAGTTGCATGTTATCCAACACAAATTGCACATTACCCAAATGGTAGTATGAATTCGCCAAATCAACATGTTCGGGTTCAAGATTCTTCAGGCGTATAGCCAGTGCTTGTTCGTGATATTCCTTGGCCTGTCCCAGATTATTCCATTCACGATGCACCATGCCTAAGTTATTGTAAGTATCCACGACTTCAAGGTGCTCGGGACCAAGCTTTTTCAACTGAATGTCTAGAGTACACTCCAAATGCTCCTTAGCCTTCTGAAAGTTACACAATTCACGTTCTACAATTCCCAATTGAAAGTAATTACGGGCGACATCAACATGCTCGGGTCCAAGCTTTTTCAACCGAATGTCTAGAGCTCGTTGATAACACTCCTTAGACTTTTGCAGGTCACCCAATTCACGCTGTACAATACCCAAGCCATAGTAAATATCAGCGACATCAACATGCTCGGGTCCAAGCCTTTTCAACCGAATGTCTAGAGCTTGTTGATAACACTCCTTAGACTTTTGCAGGTCACCCAATTTATGCTGTACAATACCCAAGCCACGGTAAATATCAGCGACATCAACATGCTCGGGTCCAAGCCTTTTCAACCGAATGTCTAGAGCTTGTTGATAACACTCCTTAGACTTTTGCAGGTCACCCAATTCACTTTGTACAATACCCAAGTCATAGTAAATATCAGCGACATGAACATGCTCGGGTCCAAGCCTTTTCAACAGAATGTCTAGAGCTTGTTGATAACACTCCTTAGACTTTTGCAGGTCACCCAATTCACTTTGTACAATACCCAAGCCACGGTAAATATCAGCGACATGAACATGTTCGGGTCCAAGCCTTTTCAACCGAATGTCTAGAGCTTGTTGATAACACTCCTTAGACTTTTGCAGGTCACCCAATTTACGCTGTAAAATACCCAAGTCATAGTAAGTATCAGCGACATGAACATGCTCGGGTCCAAGCCTTTTCAACCTAATGTCCAGAGCTCGTTCAATATGGTCCCTAGCTTGTTGCAAGTTTTCCAGTCTACTTTCCACTATACTCATGTTAACCAATGAAAACGCCACATAAATATGATCATGACCAAGATTCTTCACTTGGATTTCCAAAGCACGTTCATAATACTGCATGGCCTCTTTCAGGTTACCCGAGTCGTACTGTACATTACCTAGATGATGGTATGAATTTGCCACTTCAACGTGCTGGGGTCCAAGATTTTTTAGCCGAATGTCAAGAGCACGTTCATGATTCTCCTTGGAATTTTGCAAGTCACCCAACTCACGCTGAACCAAACCCAGTAAATTGCAAGTCTCCACAAGGGCATCATCCGTCGGTCCACGTTCTCTTAACTCAACGTCTCCAGGATATTCACAACTCCTTATCTTCTTACCCGTTTCAACCAGTTTCAAAGCTGTTTCACAGTAAACTTTTGCTTCTGAAAATTCTCGGTGATTCCTGCAAATTATTGCAAGCCTTCTGAAATATTCTGAACATTTGAAGTAGTTGAAAACGTGTTTCTCAGTAATTTGATATTTATCTTCGTGAAGAAAGACCTTTTCAACTTCTGCAGCAAACGTATTCAAGTGTGGAATGAGATGCTCACTATCACGAATAGAGTTTTCGTTCTTCCAAGTGTGTGGTAGATGAATGTCTATGAATTGGTTGAAGGACATTACAGCGTATGCAACACTTCGAACGTGTTCATCAGGCTCCTGACACTCGTTGATTACAGATTTACTGGCTTCATGCACAACTTGATGCACTTTAACAAAATTTCCACTTTCTCTCTCATCGAAGAGAAGAAGAGAGTAGCCTTGGATCTGAAGAGCAATTTCTTCTTTATCCAAATGCGGATTTTGATCATTCAAAATGTAGTTCATAAGGATGTCTAAATGCAAAGGTTGTAAAGAACACAGGGAAAGGAGTGTAAACGCGCTTTTAACAACACTGTCATTGTTTATCGCTCGTTCAATAGCCAGCTTGGTTGCGACAGTCATGGACTTCCTGTAGCTTGGGTTGGTTTTTGTTAGTTCCTTTTCAGTAAGGGCTCGCATACCTCTCTCTAGCTTTTCTAAGTACTCTTCCCATCCAAAGCTTCTGGCAACTTTACTTTCACGAACCTTTTTCATGTAAACGCCTGCACTAGCCAGCGCGAGGGGTTGGTAATCTAATGCCTTAGCGATTTTATCCTCCATTCCTTGTTGTCTAATACCAGAGACCTTTGCTAAAAAGCAACGGGCATCTGTGGGCACCATGCCTTCGCTCACTGAAATGTGAGAGACAAACGAGCTTTCAGAGGGGATGGATAAAGAGTTCTGTGTTGTGATAAGCAACTGGCCTTTCGTCCACAGGTGGTTTCCAGGCCGAGGGAGAAAATCATGTACATCACATAAACTGCTAACATTGTCGACCACCAAGAGCCACGATCCGTAAAGAGGAATTTTGGTTGCTATCAAATCCTTTAGATTGTTGATTTGTTCTTCAAACTGCATATCTGTTGAGTTAAGGGTTTGCATGATAGTGTATTCAGGGCACTTGATTTGTCTTCCCAAAGAAGCGTACGATTCCAGGAGCGTTTTTGAACTTTCAGCGTTAAGAGTCATTACGAACGTGGGGGTTTTGAGGTCTTCGTTAGCTGTTTCGTAAAAGTGTTGAGCTACTAGACCGGCTAGTTGAGATTTGCCACTTCCAGGGTTACCCGAAATATATAAGTAACTCAAACCATTTTCATTTGCTTCTCTCAGCCGTTCAAGTCGTTTTGTTATTTTGCCAACCTCGCTCTCGCGAGGTGCGATTTCGTGTGATGGTTTAGGCGGAAGAATGCAGAATGAAGAAACATCACTATGTAACTGTTCCTCAAGAATATGATGCTGTTCTTCAAGGACTTGATGCTTTTCGTCAAGGACTTGATACTGTTGTTGAAGGACCTGATTATCTTCTTCAAGGAGTTGATGTCTTTCTGTAAGGAAACGGTTTTGCTTTTGAAAGGTTTGTAGTTTCACGTTGGTTTCACGGAGTTCATGGTAAAGGATCTTAACGTTTTCCAAAACACTTTGAAGTTCCTCTGTCGGAAAACTTTTCTGCTTGCAGACATTTTGAATATCATTGGTTGAGAGACCAAGACACTGAAATGCGATCTTCACTTTTTGAACAGCAAGTCTGAACTGTAGATCTGACAGCTGACCCTGTGGCATGTGAGCGAACTCTTCATTGCGAAATTCTCTGAGCTCATCGACATTCGAGCGAACTGCTGCACCGAGTCCGTGGCCGATAGAATCGGAGTATAGTATTGCAAAAAAGAGTGTAGTACAATCCCACTGTGCCCTATCTCTATTTTTTATCGTTTCCAGCAGACGAGCATTACGCGTTCGGCTCCGGGGAGACTCCCTGTTGTAGAAGTCCATTCCATTTTGAGGTGTATCTTTCCATTCTCCTAAAGTTGCCTGGTAACGACTGTTCCACTCTTGTTTAAAAATAGATCGCAGCCCTTGTGGCAGGATATTAGTGACAATATGACAAATTCTGAAGTAATTTAATTGCTCTTTGGTGTAAACTGAGGAAGCCATGTCTTCCTTGTCGTGTCATTCTTTTAAGTTTCAACCCTGTTTGGAAACCATATTACATATTCAATATTGACTGAAAAGAATCCCAATTTCAACTGCCAATTACTTGCATTAAACGTGCGAGAATAAGAAATTTCATGATAAGTTCACTTTGGTATTTTTTGCAAGGCCTTCATGGTTGCACTTACTCATTGAATGCAAACATACGAGAAATTAAAGAAATCGGATGACTGCGAAGTGGAAGTTCGATTTGTCAATCGCGAGTATGATTACAGATCAAAATTGTCGACGCGAAAACCTCTTACCAAGTAATTATAACCATTTCAATTTCCGAGAAAAACAAAATGTATTCATCAGAAAAAGGGCTTATAATTACAATCTTTAAACGCTGAAGCATTACAATCTTTGAGAAATACAAACTGACAAGCTCCAGAAACAGTTTCCTACAATTATTGTTGGAAATCACTCGCTTTGGATAGTAGGATGGTAAGATTACTGTTTTCAATTCTGCAAACCAAATGTCCGATGACAACTTTTCAGATATATTAGTAAAAACCAGTGTAGTTCATCCACCAACTACATTCGTTGAAATTGTGATCGTTATAATAAAACGAGAAAAAATACTCTAAAACTATCAGAACTGCGGAGTTAATTATTTTTCACTGTTAACGTTGATCTTGTAAAAGGAAACAGAGAATACCTTCGCGCTAAAAATTGAATACCATGTAATTCGTCTTGGCCCGCGTCCTTCTCTGATCGCAGCATTTGTCATCGAAGGAAAGCTTAGAAGCTTTTTTTTTTCAATTTATATAACGCACGGATCTGTATACTAGAGGTAATAGCTACGCCAGCAAGTATACTGCAAACAAGGGAGCCTCTCTGAGCTTTCGCGGAATTGACATTGTGTGGTTACCAATGGACAAAGTGTAGAGCCTCTTTTTTTTCGCTGTTCTTCACTGATTCATGATATTTTATCCTTCTTTACAGATAATTGCTATATCGTTGTTATTTCGGCCTTTTCAGAAATACATCAATTAAGAGACCTGTTTTGGTCAAGTGTCTTCTTCATCGTTTATCACCATAAAGCGCGTTTGATTGTCGCGTGACTCGCTCAGTGAAAGAAATACAACAGCTTGATTTTATTTTTGATGAGCGATATATAAATATTCATACGCACTCAGTGAATTCCAAGGCCAACCTCTTTCCCAGGGTCCTCTCTCTTCCTTCTTCGCGAAAGTTTTGCACTCCAATCCCCCTCCCCGGGCAGCCCTAGCCTGGCTAAGGTGGAGAATACAAGAGTTCTATCTATAAATATGGAGGTGTAAAAATTAACTTTCGCGAAGGATCGGCTCAAAAAAAGGGTCTACAAGATCCAGGTTTTAAAGATTGGTCAGTGTGTAAATGTTCCGGTCGCTGATTTTGCCTTTTGAAAAAAATTGGGTGGGCATTTAAACACAATGTTTTCTCGGAGGTCAAATCAATCTTCAAAAGTTCAGATGCCCGGGGATTTCAAGGGGGATATTGAAGCTTCGAAATGATCGACACGTCACTTCTCGAGGGAGAAAGAGAGAGGCCCTGGGAACGAGGATGTCTTCACGCGACCGGCTCTCGCACGCGCGTGTCTAACGCTTTTACGTCATAACCTCGAAGTTAGCTACAGTTCTAAGCTTCTCTGGAGCGTTTTGTAATTGTAAGGAGAATTTTGTTACCGATCCCTACCTAGAGTCAAATTCAAAGCATTTTCCTGCCATCTGCTCGGTGTTAGCCAGTTTGTGAAACGTGAAACGTCGTCACGCATAGCATTCATTGCAGCCCAGCCGTTAGCTGCTGGTTGTCTTGTCATGCAACGCATCTCTGTCCACCACCAAGAGAAAGCGTGGCGTGACAAGACCAAACAACAGCTAATGAGCTTCTTTCTCCAGGAACAAAAAGTTTTGTTTAAGCTTTAGAAATACTTTTGTTTTCAGGCGTCTTATTTTTCGCATTTTATGTTCTCATCACTGGGTCACGACCTGTCGGTGACGTCTGCCGGCGGTACTTAAAAATGATCTTCCTATTTAGTGGTATCTGATTACCATGAGGGGGATTTATTTTTTTTCATATATGTTATAAGATATGATTATTTTCCGTCGTCACCCAAGAAGTTCCACCAAAAAATCGTGACCGTCCATACATCCCCAAAGTGAAATCTCGAAATCTTAGACATCAGGTCACAAAGTATCAAAAACAACTAAACTATTCGTTACATTAGTGTTATTGCGCAATGTAGGTGTCACGTCAGGGGTTTCCTGCATACCACGGAATTTTACTTGTCAGATAAAGTGAAGGAGGCCTAATGTCAGCTCGGATCAGAAAGCTTTTCGAAAATTTACAGGGAACTTTGATCAATGATCCCGATGAAAAAGAGAAAAATTATTCAGTATTCAAACCAAAAATTTTATAAGAACGTTGACTGAAGTTGATGACGGATCAAACGAGATTCTTGATAAGCACATTGTTGTCAGATTGCGTCATATTCCCTCTTAACGTTAATTTTATTCTTTAGAAGATTGAGAACAAAGAAATACATCTCCTTTGATTCTCAGTAGCCTTCTCGAACGTTAAATATATCATAATAACACAAATTTTCTCAGAAAACGATGCGACGTGCAGTTTTTCAGTTGCACATAAAGACCGGACGAACTATTCGGGATAATCGAGAATGTGAATATTAATGAGTAACGAAGAAAGCGACATTTTATCGTCAATCAAAACCTGTCAATTAAAACCTTTACAAATCGTTTTGAAAAAATATGGTCTACATCTTTACTATCCGCTGTTCATCATGTGCAGCGTGCAGCGATTTACGCTTCAGTCCTTCGCTGTTCTCTAAGTTGTCGGCAAACTTCATGATCTTTTCCTTGTTCTTACGGATATCAGATATCTGCTGCGTACTAACGCTGCCAGCTGACTAATTGGTCCCTTTTTCCCCTTTCTCTAATCGCAAAATTATAGACTATTTCTCTTTTATCGAAAGAATGGGCCGCTTACGCTCAAGGACATGATGATCGTGAATATTCGTGATGCCGTGTAGCTTGTTTATCTTGCACGACAGGCCTAATTAGTTACGACGCTTGCGAGCGCTGCTTTTGTTTTTTGAAAGCGAAACAAACTCCCCTTCACTTCACTTTTCAACGCTGTAGTTTTAAAAAGAATATAGCTACGTATCTTGATCATAACTAATTGACATTCATGACAAAATTGCGACCGGAGAAAAAGTCCGAATAATCGAGGTCCGGATAATCGAGGTTCGACTGTGCGGACATTTCCGGGTTACGGCAAATTCAGAGCTTGTTCTTTAATCAGAATTGAATTAGATAAAGTGTTCTGCGCACTTTTTCTGAAGGATATGTACTCACCATTCTATACACAACAGTTAAGCCGTGATAGCACCATAGGTTGTAAGTTAAAGACTCACTGAGCAAGGTCCATAGAGAGTCGCCTTCGTTACTAATGTCTGCAAAGTCATGTGGCTAGTCTTACAAATCCCATCGTACTTTGTGGGTAAATAAAAGCGTATTAGATATGCAGTACGTACAGATTTAACTAATCATCCACAACCTTTTAAACTGGCATCCGATTTCAAAGACTCTTTTCTTCTTTTAAGGTTGAACCACTGTTTTCAATCATATTGCTAGTAATCAAAGTCATTGCAAAGGACGAAGTTTAGCTAAAAATTTTTACTGTTCTCTGCGCGGTCTGTTTAAGGCTCTCTTATCCTCATGTGTTCATGTGCATCCTGAGGAAGAGTTGGCTAGGGACAGAATAGGATCTTCTGCAGCACGCTCACTTTGTAGGAGATATGTAATAATGGGTAAGGTATATATTTTTTTAGATTAAATGGTAGGAGCTATTCATGAGTAGATAAGGCAAATAAGGAAAAGCTTATGATAATGTTACAGGATCTTAATACATACTTTGAGTATTTGTGTATAGAACTTTTTTTTCACTTTCTTTGGAGTAATTTTTTCCATTTCTGATACTGGTATCAAGATTCTCAATGTATGAGTACGCATTTGACTAGAAATTGTCGACTGTCACGGATATCGTGACATCGTGTCACACTTTTAGAGCGCAAGATGGCGGCAAAGTTGATGTTTCCTCGTGATTAAAGTTGTTTGTAATCCATCGAGTTTGAGCCAATTCTTGAGTCGAACCGCGGAAACAGGAGCCTAGCTTCTGAGCTTACTCCAACTTGCAATAATATTGGATATTCAACTTACTGTTAATTTGGTCATTAAAAAATGTGTTCTTCACTCAAACTCTCCCCTACCCTTCCCTCCCTTCCTTTCTTTCAGCTTGAACTGAGACAAATTAAAGACCATGTCTTCCAAACAATATTATTAATGATTCATAGTTTCTAGCGAACGTAGAGAGCTGATATGGCCTCTGTAATGATTGTGATAGTATTTCCAGTGGCCTGATTTACTATTTACTCCGGCCCAGGCCCGTAGGGCCTGGGCCAGGAGTTATAAATTCGGCTCGATTTGTAGTTTTCGACACAAATCTGCATTCTTGCGCAATATTGTGACGTAATCCCAGTGCGCTTTGCAGGCGAGTTTTTCCATTTGACAGGCTCGTGTTTCTGTATCGTGCTCAAGCTCACGTTTGTTCAATTCGTTCAATTCGCTCAAGCTCACGTTTGTTCAATAAAAGGCACTGGACGTAGCCGTTCATTCCTGGCTAAAGGTAAGCTGTCTTGTGTATTCTTTGTTATTTTGAGTTGTGCTGTAGCTTTTTTCCAAACACTGCAACATTCTCTCACCGTCGAAAACAAATAAAGGTTGAATGCCAATGAATGCCTTGATACCTTGAATGCCAAACTTACGAAAGTACACTGAATGCCTGAACAAGAATCGGGATTAAGCTTAAACTAAAATGCACTACTTAGAACCTGAATGCCAGAATTCCTATGTAAACAACTTAGAAGTGAATAATGGCCGTAATTGTTGTTGCCCAGAGTCTACATTTACATCTGTACCTGGCAAAGACAAATCTATTTCAATAGAGGGCTGTAGATCTCGATATGCCGAGTTTATCCATTGTCATTGTGTCAAGGCTAGCTGCCATACAGTTCGACGTGATCGTGAACCAAGCAGAATTCCAGTGAAACGGCTCACTCGTGTTTTTAAAAAAAGCAGGAAAATAAGGAGGCTAGTGAAAAAACACATCATCAAAAATATACCGCGGTCATCTCGAATTCATATTTATATTACATTTAGAAGTGCTCGTCCAACTGTTGATTTTAGTTATAACACCCATATGTTTCAGTGGAGATCTGGACACAAGGTTAAACCAAGAAAAAAGCGAGTTTTCGCATCTCACTTTGCTATAGCATCACGCAGAAGAAACCATAAGACTACTAACCTGAAGTTTAAGGTTAAGGAAAATTGTAGATTTCCAAAGGCAGTAAGTAAAGATATTTTAAAAGAATCACGTGTTTATAAGAATTTGAATCATAGGGTAAACTATTGCCAATCACTCCTTTGCAGAGATGTAGAAAAAAATCCAGGCCCTGTCTCTGTTGTTCCCTCTCAAACACTTCATGCACCATATTGTCAAGGAAATGTTGCAGTGTTTGTTCAAAATGCTGGACAGCAATGTGCAGCCATGTCTTTATGTAGTCTAATATACAATGACAAGAAGTCAATTACTTCTGCAGAAGACTTGGTTGAAATTATGAACATTGGTAACAAACTGTATTCTAGTCTATCGACCATATCCAGAAACTCTTTCTTGATGTTAACAGAGTTACCTTCAATGATTATGGTGTTCGACACTAATTATCACCTCCAATATAGTGAAAGTTATACTTGTTGGTTACATGCGAACAGCAATTATTCAATTGAAGGCTTTCCTTACTGCATGCCTCTGGTTAGTGCTTTGCAAACTTTAATAGCAGAAACCTATAACTCATTCCGTTTGACAATACAGATTAATACTGTAGCAATTTATCGTACTTTACATGGTGCATATAAGGTATTTGATTCCCATGCTAGAGATTCATTTGGTTTGGCCCATCCTCAAGGAACTTGTGTTTTGTTGCATTTCCAGGAAATGAATAAATTAGTGGAATATTTTCAGAGTTTATATACTAATGATGCCATATTTGAGCTGAAAGGTTTAAACATTTCTGTATCAGAAATTGGAGTTCATGATCATAACAAGCCATTTTCATCAGAAGATCAAAATGTAACTTGTCAGACAGCTGCTGTTAATGAAGATATCACTATGGAAATTGATGCAAATATTAGTCTTTTAAAAAAGAGTTGTGCCATATGCTTTTATTGTGTTTGTTTTTCAATTATTAAACCATGTAGTAATTGGAAGTCATTTACATTAGAAGCTGTTGTTGAACATGGAAATATATTTTATAAAGAAAACCTTGACACCAGTAACCAGTTCACAATTGATGGGTTACCACTTAGGCTTAAGATCTATGATGCTGATGTAGATGTGAAATACAGTTCAAAACATCAAGGAATCTTTTCATGTAGTTCTTTGTCCAGCAAACTAGTACTTCAGAGGTTAATTTTAGACAACAAAAATGTGAATACTGGATTTCTTCTATGGCTCTCTGGTTACTGTCTAAGTTGTGTAATTTGCCATACTGGCCGTGTTGCTGCTAAAACAAAGACAAAATATTTTGTAATGGAATTCCATGAAAATCAAGGACTTCAGGTACTTGAACATAATCATGTAGATTCCCTTATTGAAACTTTGTGTAAAATTGTAACAAAAAAATTCAACTGTCAAGAAATAGAGTACTGTATTCAATTTCTATTGTGTACGTCGCAAATTACCAACACTGAAAGGCAAAGGATCATGAAAAAGCATAAGACAACTTCACAGAAAAAGTTTACTGCAAACAAATGCAAAAAGAACTATGGTCAAATGGAACCTCCTAAGAAAAAAGCCCACTTAGAACAAAAAGCTGCATATTACAAAAATGTGTTCTGTAAAAAGAGGAAAGGAACCAAAATAAACAAACCTTGCAATAAAAGAGCCAAACAAGTTCCAAAACATCAGAATAAAACCTCTCACAATGACTTGAATCATTTTATTTCAATCTTTCATAAAAAGATTATGGAAGGTCCATTCTACACATGTACTGTATGCAATAGACTACTTTATAGAAAATCAGTTACTCAAGTAAAGGAAGCCAAATATAGCACTCGCTTTCTTTTAACAAATAAGAAGTCATTTGATAAAAAGGAATACATTTGCAAAACATGTGACTTGAAGGTTTCAAAAGGGCAAGTTCCATGTCAAGCTGTGTACAATAAACTGCTTGTTGATGAAATCCCTGCAGAACTTGAGTCTCTAGAAAAGCTTGAACAGATCCTTATAGCACAGCGCATTGTATTCGAGAAAATAGTAGTAATGCCAAAAGGCCAACAACAAAAAATTAAAGGAGCTATCTGTAATGTGCCTGTTAATTGTGAACAGACATCCAATATTTTACCACGTCCTCCAGAAAGTTCAGGCATAATTATGTTGAAACTTAAAAGGAAACTCCAGTTCAGAGGTCATGTCTACTTTCAAGCAGTGCGACCCGAGTTTATTGTCAATGCCCTTATGTGGCTTAGGATGAATAATCCATTGTACAGCAATATAGTAACATGCATTGAAAATATTGACCCAAGTCTAACAAAATTTCAAGACTGTGAAATACATGTAAATGCAGGTATATGTACTGACATTGAAATATGCTCTTCAAATCATAACTCTTGTGAACAAGACACAATACAATGTGGTGATGACAATGAAGAAGAAAAAGACGACCCTTTGAATGAATTTAGAGCACCAATTAATCAAACATGCCTACAGTCTGTTATACCAGATTATCCTGTAACTGTAGAGCTAAATAGTAATAATTCATCAGGAAATGAAGTTTACAATATTGCACCTGGTGAAAATAAACATCCGGTGTCCTTTATGAGTGACAAACAATGTGAGGAGCTGGCATTTCCAGTATTGTTTCCTAAAGGAAGATTTGGCTATAAAGTTGAACGAGAGGTTAAATTGTCACCAGTAAAATACTTTAATGCAAGACTGTTACATTGTAGCGGCAGATTTGCAACAAATCCAGAATATCTATTCTTTGCACAGTTCATAATAGAACAGAAGAAAATTTCAGATAGTATTAATATTGCTCTAACAAAAGTTCACGGACAGCCTATTACAGCATCTCATTTAAGATCAAATACACAAAGTTTGCAAAATCTTATTTGTCAAGATCAGGCTTATTTATTTTTAAGACAAATTCCAGGTACACCACCTTACTGGCAAAAATTCATGTATGAAGTAGTAGCAATGGTAAAGCAGCTTGGTATTCCATCATGGTTTATGACATTATCTTGTGCAGATCTTCGATGGTCTGAGCTTTTTCACATTATTGCTAGGACAAAAGGAATGAATTTAACTGATGAACAAGTTGAAGCCTTGTCTTATAATGAAAGATGTTCTA